TAGCCTTCGAGAACGGGCGGGCCACATCGACTGCATCACACTCAGAAAAAGTGAGACAGAATTTATCTTGAGAAACTTAAATATTACAGTAAACTTGTAAAAAGTCTTCAAAAGCAATAAATAAGCTTATTTTTTGCTGGTAAATTCTTCTTATAAAACCAGAATTTTTCATGTGCTGAAAACGATTAGAGATCCCTGTTAAGTGTGAATGTCAGCTGTTCTCATCCGAGAGCAACACACTTGGTTCAGGAAAACCACTTGTAAAATGTTTCCCTTATCACAGACGGCCGTTCCGAAGCAACGATCACACAAACAGAAGGGCGCCGTGAGGGTGCCCGCCCCGCCCCGCCCCGCCCCACAGTGGGCTCTGCCCCGCCGCCAGTGGGGCAGGGTGGGGGGTGCCCGCTGGCCCTCTCTCTGCGGGCCGTGTGCTTCGTTCGCTCTGGCGCAAACAGCCCGAGTGCCGCAGTCCCCGGCTGGCCGGTCCGGAGTGAGCAGGCAGCTCCACTAAACCGCATCAGCAAAACCTTAAAAGATTAATTGTCAATTGCAATACTACCCAATTTACATTAATTGACCAATGTTTCCATCCAAGAAGAGTTGCTGATATTCATTGTCCTCGGGATTTTACTGGAAGAACTTCATGCCTTAAATGTGATTGAAATAAGTGCTGAAAAGGGCTCTATGTCAGGAATGAATACTGCTCCTTAACTCTTTGAATTTTAATTTAAAGTACAGATTCAGACACTAGAAGATTTGTGTTTGTTTGTCTGTAACCATTTTCAATCCCCAGGGTACACTTAGTAAAGTGTATCCGCACCTAAATATTGGCATCTTTAATGACTCTTTCCGATGCCCCTCCCATTACACAGATATTCTGCATTTCTAATTTGCGTGGTACACAGGCAACCAATGTGCATAATTGCACTGCAAACGGAAGCGTGCTCGCTACTTTAGTGAAATTAGAATTCAGTGAAGGTTATAAAAATATTAAACTTAATATCATATTACAGGAAGCCTAAGTATTTTTGATGGGCCCATAATTTTACCACTTCACCTGCTATATCCGCTGGCAAACATGGTTTGGAATATTAATGGAAAACTCCCTCATTATTAAACTGCAGTATTAAAAAAAAAATCCACAACCACTAACAGCTTACCACAAAGACATTTTCAGAAATTATCTACCTTAAAAATATTTTCCCACTAGACAGTTCAGAGAACAGATTTAATTTTGTACAACCCCCCACTGTTTCAAACAACTCATTAATTCAAAAAGTTCTGTTTTCTTTGCATTTAAAATCTCAGGGGGGAAAAAAATCCAATCTCCTTTTCTCCGATCTCCATTTAACTGTGCCGATTTTGCTGAGATCCAGACCTGAATAATTCAAAACCATCTCTGGTAGATGGTGTGTATCAGGTGTAAGTGGCCAGAACCACGGCCTTCCGGTCCACCTGCCGAGAGCGGAAGCACCTGTGCCCCTCCCACTGCACAGCCTCACCCAGGGGGTCCAGAAGGGGGTCCAGAAGGGGGTCCAGAAGGGGCTCCTCATGGAAGGAGGGGAGACGAGCCCCTGAGCAAAACAAAGAACAAGGAAAAGCTCAAATCACGGACCGAGTGACCAGCTCCAAAATGACAAAGTTCATAAAACAGAGTTGTTGTTGTTGTTTGTAAGAACCCGATGAGGTGATTTTTCATCTTCTGAAGGAAATAGCATGCAAGGTCAGAATCTGGACTTTTGACAAAAAGAAAATGTAAGTTTCACAGCGTGTGTCTTCAAAGACAGACATGCGACAGCTGGAGGTTCTCCCTCCCGTGTCGCACCTTCAGTCCCTCGGGCCAGCCCCGCAGCTCCAGGGGTGGGTGCCACCGGTCCCCCTTCCTCTGCAGCCCCTGCCCTCCCCGAGAATGGCGGGTAATCTCCCCTAACAGCGGTGCGCCCTGAGGGTGTTCGGGAGTGGGAGAGGAACAATGCCTGAGTGGCGCCCTTTGCAGGCAGGTGGCGGTGCGGGTGTGTCGCGGGCAGCGCCGCGCTGGTAGTATCTGCAGTTGACTCGACGGCCGCCTTTCCATAGGTTCTATCTGAAAACCCACTAGCGGCTTTTCACTATACAACAAGTGCAAAAAATATAAAGAAAAAAACACAAATTTCTTCTTAAAATTAGAAAAAGCCCCTAAGTTACTGAGATGTATGCAATTAGAGTGTTTCTAAAAAGGCAACGCAAGCACGCACACTCCACCCCCCACCGGCCAGTTCCCGTGGCGGCTGGCAGAAGCCCTTCTCTGCAGCGCCTCCAGCCGAGGGCGCACGGCAAACGCTCCGAACTCGCCTGGTTGCGGATGAGAAAGCTACAGCCCAGAGAGGTTGATGGCCTGGCCAAAGATCGGCCAGCAAGTTAAACGGCACAGCTGGGCTTCCTAGTCAGGTTTCTGGGGACCCCAAATCCAGTGACCTCTGAGCTGAGTGGATGAGACCACGCTTGGCCACGAGTGCACCCGGGAAGAAGCGAAGGCTGGTCTCTGGACAATCTGCGTGGCTGGCCTCCTGAGGACGGCCTCTTTCCCTAAGGACCCGGGTACACCGCGTGTTCCCCGAGATGGCATCACGTAACTGCATTTCAGAGGACCCTTGAAAAAGCACAGTGCCTTCAACCCCAAGATATGAATGTCTAATAAACGATACAGTAAAACTGCAGCACATGGGCGCCAGCCCCCTGTGCCCATGGGCGAGAGTGTCCCAGAAACGCAGCGACATCTGGCCTCACCCACACGCAGCTCGAGCACTGAAACAGACACACACCGAATAAAAGCTAAGGAATCCTTGTCCGTGTGCAAACAGCTCCTGTCTCATCTAGGAGGAAGACCCGCAGAGGCACGGATATTTCATGACTCAACCGCTTCCCCCAAGTCCAGTCCACGCTGAGCCTGGGCACTGCACGTCTGGTACCCGCCTGCCCGCGAGCGGAGGCCTCCCTGACACTGCCGAGGCAGCTCGGAGCCTCTGGACCGGGAGCCAGGGCACCTGGCCCCTGGCATCAACTCTGCCACTCATCACCCAGGGACTCCAGATGACCACGTCCGCCCTCTGGACCTTTAGTTCTCATCTGCCCCAAGAGGCCACCCCCGCAGTGTCCTGGTCTTCCTTCAGCAGTAATCATAAATCAAAACAAGTGCCCGGGGTCAGTTATTACTTTAAAAAGCATTTCTGTGATGGAGAGGGATAGATCTTTCTAGAAGACACACACACACACGCACACACACACAGAACATCAGCAAGCACAACTACACTGTACAACTGCCTGTTGAGATTATTTTATCCAGAAAGCCGTGTTGCTACTCCCGTATTTACTGCGAAAATTGGTCATTCTCATCTACTGACAACCTCTGCTCAAATGTGGTATGGGCAAGGAGATCGGTGGGGAAGAAAAGTCAACGGAAGAAGGGAATGAAAGATGTGGCTGCCCTTGATTTCAACAGAAAAATGGAAACCAATGTGGGTTTTTATTTATTTTTCAAGACTTTATTTATTTTTAGAGAGAGGGGAAGAGAGGGAGATAGAGAAGGAGAGAAACATCAATGTGTGGCTGCCTCTCGCACGCCCCCCAAGGGGACCTGGCCGACACCCCAGGCATGTGCCCTGACTGGGAATCGAACCGGAGACCCTTTGGTGTGCAGGCCGGCGCTCAATCCACGGAGCCACACCAGCCAGGGCCCCTCCCTCCCTTCAGTCTTGCAGCGCGCTCCCACTCCCAGGCAGAGCCTGGCCTTCGGAGCCAGGCACAGTAACCCACGTCCTGCGGTCCCGGGCCTGTTTCCTGAGCCCTCCATCGCCGGTGCCCTCCTCCCAGGGCAGACGGCAAAAATTACGGGGGAGAACATGTGCACTGGCCCAGCACGCTGCAGACCCTCAGTGAGTATGTGGGCTCCTACCTCCTGACCTCTCCTGGATAAGAAGTCAGTTCGAGGGTGCAGACCAGATCGCGCAGCCTCCGGGAGAAGCGCACGGGGACAGCTGGTGCAGGTGCGCCGCGACGAGGGAGACCAACAGATGCAGGGAGCAAGAGTTTGCAGAGCGATCAGATAATGAAACACCTCCTATCCTTCCAAAGAAGTGAGTCATTTTCTTCTAGGTGTCAAGTGAATAGCCAAATGTATCACAATCAAAATCTGTCATGGAAAAAGCCAGCCAGGTACCCATTCCGAATGAGTAGTGGCTTCTAATGCTACGGAACCCGCTGGGACACGGTCTCCTGGCACTCAGAGGATAAACACACACCCCCGCGGCTCCTTCACAAGCACAAAAGCATTCTTGGGTCCAGACGTTCTAATAAGCTGAAAGTTTATTTCATTTCTAAAATACATTCGACTCAAACCCATCACTTACATCCCCTTAATTCTGAAATCCAATTCTCGGTTTGGGCACTTTACCAGCATCTTTTCAAAAGTTTGACTTGGGAAAATGCACGCACTCTCCGACGGAAGGGGAAAAAGCCATCAGACATGCACAAAACTCACACCCTTGACTATATTCCAATTTCCTCGGCCCTCGTCTCCCCGAGCTTCTCACAACCAGTAAAGTGCAGTTACCAATCATTGGAAATGACACGAGCTTAATGTCAGAAATCATTTAGCTTAAATAAGAAAATAACTCCATTTAGCTTTCTCCCGCAAAGTAAAATTAAGTTTGTTTAGCCCTTTTTTATTTATTGCCAAAGGGCAGATTTAATTTCAAGGGAGTGAAAACCAAACTCATTCTGGAGTCTGAAGTTACCACTTTAATTCTGCTCTACCCACGGAGGCACAAAGGCTGTAGGCATTAAACCGAAGAAGCTTTGGCTGTGGAAGAACGACAGGTGAGTGGGGCCCACTGGGCTGGGAGGGCTGGGGAGAGACGTCCGCCCTCCTGCTCCCCTGCACTGCCAGCAGGAGCTCCAAGAAACCCCACCGGCTCCCGGGGCCTCGGCAGCCCGCCCCTCCAGCCTCCAGGCTCCGGACTTACCGGACACATTAATCGAGGCCCCCGCGTCGATGATCCCGCTGTTGGGCCTCACGCAGTACCTGCGTGGTGCCGTGGTCTTCACTTTGAAGCACACGTTGCGGTCTGTCGGGTTGGCGAGCTTCAGGTTGGTGGTGACAACGTCGGTGAAGGGACCTACAGAACGAGAGACAGAGACTGACCGGGGCGCCTCGCGAGGAGAGTTCAGAGACGGGTGTACAGTCCAGGCTTGGGCGGGTCCGGAACACGGCCAGGGAAGGAAGACTCGAGGCCGACCGGATCCCACCGCCGCAGCAGAGGGGAGCTGAGGGGAGCGCACTCGCGAGGACAGCTGAAGTCCACGGCGTCCTTGCCGTGCCACCGTGCCACCGAGCAGGTGCTCGGACAGGCCTCCCGGCCGGGGGGCTCCTGGGGCCACAGGGGCGGGAGCCGCGCCACCGTCCCTGTCCGCGTGTCCAGACTAGCGGTGGTCGTCGGGCGCTGCCCCGGAGGCTGGGCCCCGGCCCGCGCCGAGCGCCGGCGGCAGAGCGTGCGGACAGCGGCAGCGCGAGAAAGGCCTGGAGGTGCCCTGGTCCGCACGCACGGGACCGCGTCCCGACGACGACGCGCAGGCCCCAGGCGCCGCAGTCCCGCGGGGCGGCCACCCCTGCGGCGTCCTGGGCCAGCCACCCAGGCTGCTGGGGAGACTGGGACGGGGCTCGGTGCCCTCGGGGTGCATTTTATTGTTATTCATTCATTTTCCACTTTGTTAGATTTTTTAATTAAAAAAGTAAAGCATGCTTCCTACCACAAGCCAAACGATAAAAGATGTACGAAGAGGAAGGTAATAAGCTTCCCTTGCCCCCCGAGGTGACAACGTGGGGGACTTTCCACACCGTCCATGTTCACGCGAACAGTGCGTGCATGCGTGGGGGGGGGGGACAAAAACAGGACCGCGCTGCCCACGACACCCTGACGCCTGCTTCTCCGCTGCGTGCCGATCCGTGGCGAACACCTGACTGCCGGGTCACTGAGGAGTCGGGCGGGAAGTGCGAACTGCAGGACCTCTTAGGCCCGTCTCAAACGTCTGCCTCTTCACCGTGTGAATCCGCGGTGTCTTGTTTCTCCAGGCGCGCTCTTCACAGTTACGAGGAGGTGGGGAGGGGTGGGCAGGGGCGCGCCCACCACCTAAAGCGTACACAGAGCTGCTTCACGAGGTGTTCCCTAAGAAACCAGCCGGCCCCGACACTCGAACCCACAACCTGAAAACTTTGCAATGAGACTCTCAAGCCCCCGAGGACAAGGGTGATACTCTCCGGGCTCCTGTATCGCTGGGGCGGTTCCTGGCATCTAGGAAAGGGGTGTGTCTCTATGGAGACACATACACAGAGATGCACGCACCAAGGAGGAAACTACCTCATAGATTACCGCTAGCTAAATTAAAATCTCAGGCTGCTTTCGCTCCTCCAGAGGTGCTCAGGGGATGAAAAATCAATGTGATATGGGCTTAACTTAAATATAAATTAAGAAATCAATAATGATAGAAAGGAAAAACGAAAAAGAAACTCCATTCCGAACTCAAACAAGCCACCGCAAACTACGGCAAAGCTGATTCGGAGACCGTGACTCTGCTCCAGTGTGACTGATGTGCGCCTTAGGGGACAGTCCAGGCAGCGCACGGACTTCACATCTGCTTGTGTGGGACCGTCTGCAGGAAACGCCAGGCGAAGCCAGCGACCCGCACCCCGCCGGCCGTGCTGCACACAGACGCACACCTCTGGTCCCCAGCACCTGCGGCCCCGGCGCCCCGCGGGTCAGGGCCACACCCCTCGCACCTGGCGTCCTCACACTCACTTGCACTGCAGGTGACCTTCCTCCGGCCTCTCACGCCCACTTCCACGGGCAAACGTCAGGTCTTCTGAGGTGGATTAAGTGCCACGCTCAACTGTAGTGTTTATGCATTTCCTACCATTTCATGTGTGCAAAAGTGTGCTACTGCTTTTACTGGTTCCGCGTCCTTGTGCGTGTGTGCACGCGTCCAACGAAGTTTAAGAACAAAGGTGTGTGTGTAGCATGTGTGTATGTAGGAAAGGGAAAGGGAGGAAGAGAAACAGATGTCCTAGTGAGACCACAACTGGTCACTCTCGCACACACGCCGACGGGGACCAGACCCCCTACCCAGGCGCACGCCCCACCCAGGAGCTGCACGGACGACCTCCCCCTTTGTGGGCGGTGCCCGGCCACACTGGCCGGCTGGGGCCCAAGTTCCTCAGTGCACCGAGCTTCGCCCCCCTCACGAGTCCTGTGGGTTGTACGCGCTGTTTTGTGCGGAGTGGTCATTTTCAGGAATGCCCACGTCACATTAGAACGGAGCCCACTCTATCAGTGGACCCTCTGTCGGCTCACCTTCCCCGTAGGTCCTGCCCCCGGTCCTGCTCGCGGGAGCTGGCGAAGCCCTGAGAGGGAGGCGCCGCGCCGGTGCGGCTGCGGCCAGATGTGGGGCACGGCGGGGCCTTGGCGGTGCGTCACCAGCGGACTCCAGCACAAACCACCCTCTCTGCACACCCTACGCCGTCACCCCGTCGAGAACTACAAGTTTATGCACGAGGGCAGGCACCCTGTGGCCCGAGAGGATTTTCAGCTACCCTGAGGGACAGCCAGATGCTGACCACACTCCCTCCGTGGATCAAGTTCTTGGCACGAAGGGCGAAACAGGACGCCTGGTGCTGAGGCAGGGGCCGGGGGTGCAGCCGCCCTGCCCTGCCCCGCCCTGCCCTGCAGGCGTGCAGCCGCCTCGGCACTCGGGGGGACGGGCGGGCTCCGCCAGCCTCGGCTGCTGTGGGCGGAGATCACGTCAGCGGCAGTGAGAGAAAGGAGATACTGCTGGACACAACTCCAGTTCTCAGGGTCAAAGAGAAGAAACCCAGAGACACACTCACCCCAACCACACCCCCCCCCTCCCCCGGCCCTCACCCGGACTCCGCGTGGGCCTCGCTCCCCCTCCAAGAGCCTCACAACGACACCAGGGGAAGAAGACTGACAAAAGTGTGTGTCTTTACGACGACGCACCGAGAAAGGGGTGGGCTTTCGGATACAAAGCCGCAGGGTAAGGAAGGAGCTCCTCGCCGACAGTGCGAAGGTGGTTTGCACACAGACTCTCAGGTCTTCACGCTTTCCGGACGCGAGCGGAAGTCATCGGTCTCCACCAAGCGCTGCCTCAAGGACACGGAGGCGTCTTCAGACCACAACGCCCACAATCGGAAATTACCCACAGACACTAAACCCCCAGATTTTCCTGGGTTTGCAGTCTACGGGGGGCGTCACACAGGGACGCTGGCAGGAGGCCCTCGGATGAAACGGAGAGTCCCCGCGTCCCGCCGGTTCCAGGGCCTCTTCCCCCCACCCGCCCTGCCGGCTGGGGGCCTGGAGTTTCAAAATACAGGGGAGTCCTGAACATCACAGATAGGTCCTGCCACTTTAAGAAAAATGACATATAAAGAAACCAATTTTGCCACAGGCTAATTGATATAAACAAGAGGTCAGTTCCTATGGCATCTCATCAACATTATAGCGAAAGTACCTTGAACAAAACGACATTAATTGAGGAGCTGCTGTATCTGTTTATCCCTTAACACTGACCTTTTCTTCCAGGTACTCCATAAAAAGGGAAACCAAATTTAACTGTAAAGACTAAGCTGTTTTTGGAAACTCCCCCAGTTAATCTATTATACAGCGATCTAAATACTGACTGTTTCAATCTGTACGAATCACATAAAAAGTAATCTAAATTATTAAAAGATACTACTTGTGGTAATAAGAAAAAATAAATATCCCAGATTGCTCCTCAACACTCAATCATGGGCCTTAAGTACTGAGGATTTCTTGGGCTTTCATAGGTTTTCATTTGTAAAAGTCTGGAGGGAAATATACTGAAAATACAGGGCCCAGGAGAAGTAAGGCCGGCTTGAGTGTGGTTGGCAGGGTCATAGTATGGGCGTGGTAATTTACAGTTTTCATGTGAACATTTCACCTAAAACAACATTACGCTGTGCGTGAATGTGATATTGTTATGTTACAGAATTGCATGCTTATGATTTTGTGATGAGAGATTTTGTAATTAAAAAGGGATTTCATTTGTACCGGACCCTGTATATGCAAGTGAGCAACGTGACTGGTAAAACAGCAAAGTCTCACGAGAAAAAAAATCACGACATTTTATAAAAACAGGCCAACCCTTCTCTCCCCACCCCTGGCAATTTACTCGAAGACTTTTATTGAAAATAAATTCTATTCAATTTGAGTAATTATAGGAAATAAACCATGTTAGACTTCTCCTTTTCCCCTGTATTAATGAATTAGAATATACAAAAACCTCAATAAAAATGATGTAAGGACTTATGAGCATCATTCAGATTTTTACTAGTCACTTTCGTTCCATAAAACTGCCATTTCCATTAAAGCATCATGTAAAAAATGGGGTTTTACTATACCAACATGCATATTTATCACCAGTGAGTTTGAACAGCGCTTATACAGTGCAGAGTCAATTTTACAAACTGAAATCTCCTTCCCAAGTTAGACTTGTTTCTTTTTAGAGATGAAAAAGGTGATTAGGTATCTCTAGCACATACTTTTAATAATTTTTCTTTCTAATCTTCTATTCTGATTTCAGATGTTTATATGAAATTAGGAACTAAGCATCGAAAATGTGAAACAGAGGTCAAAAAATGAAGCAACAGGATTTTGGAAGAAGCTGGGACCGTTACGCACATTTTTAGTCTTTCTTCCTTTGGACGACGGGACCGACGGCCTCCAGGGCCTGCAGGGCGCGTGCTCGCTGGGGGCGCGCTCTCGGGGAGCAGACGGGGACGAACGCCGTCAGGGAGCCCCACCGAGTCCCAACTCCTCCACGACCGGGGAGCGAGGCCACCCGCTCAACCCAGGGTTCCGCCCGGTTTGGAGATGAAGCCTCCGAACCTCTGGCTGTAGAGCTCTGCGGGGGCTGAGGCGTCAGGAGACACTCCCAGCCCCACTGAAGAGTTCACTGGAGAGACCCACAGGCTCCTAGAACTTACACAAAACCACCCACCCAGGAATCCGCACCGGAAGGGCCCAATTTGCCTGTGGGTACAGGGGGAAGTGACTGAAAGTTGGTGGAGGGCCAAGCAGGCGACATT